CGCTTTCTCCCACCTCTTGTCCTTTAACCTGCCCACCCATGCCGGGCCCCGCTGTTTCAGAGCAGAATTGGAAACCATTTGGCAAGCTGTATTTGCGCTTTTGTTTCTTCTCCAAAGAAGAAAGAGAAGCTCAAATGATTAAGACTTCTTTCAGAGTTTGCCTTTCCTTTGAAAGTAGTGGACTGAGGAAAGACTCCTGGGCTCCCCGTAGCCGGTCCGTCTGGGATGTGATTGAGGAGGTGTGTGCCTCGGAGAGGTCCACTGGGCCCTGCAGCATGCAAACTCCAGTGCTGACTTTGCATTTTTATGGGGATGAGCAAAGCAGTGGACCTTCCATCCCCCCTCCCCGCCCCCTCCAGCCCCAGGGGCTAGTAGCTGATTCCTTCCTGAGGTCGAAGAAGAGGTGTCTCTCACTTGGGGGTGGGGGGGCCCCCCCACCTCTCCGCGGGTCCTCCCGCCCCTCCCCCTTTGTCCTGGGAAGCTTTGTTTTGTGTCTTGAGCAGCCAACCTTCTTTTATTAAACCTCACTCTTTTCCAATTAGTAGCCACTCACCTCAGGGGAACATAATTAAGAGGGCTCTAGTTGTCTGGAGAAGGGAATGAAACAAATTGTGGAAGTGCAGTAATCGTGAACGGGGCTGCAGCACCATTCCTAAGTCTGCGGGAGCCATAGCGGTGTGGGGAATGAGTTCCTGCATAGAACTCAGCTGTAAGAAAGGCCTGAGTTCATAGGAGGATTGGGTGAGTAGCCCCCTTGGGACATCAGCACTTCTTTTGGCTTGAGTACCAAGTGTGTTTCGGAAGACAGCATGGGCACAGCCATCCGACAGCCCCAGGTTGGAACTGTGGTTCCAGGTTCACCGTTTACTAGCTGTGTGACGTTGGACAAATTACTTCACTTTTCTGAGCCCGTTTCCCCGTCTGAAAATGTGGATAATAGTGCTACCTTGCAGTGTTGTCTTGAGAACTGTGTGTAAGTAACGCCTAAAAGCAGCTGGGTTGTAGTAGCTCGATAAATATTAGTTCTTTTTCACCTTAGTAGGATTCAAATTAAACATACCTCTCAGGTAAAGGTCACTGCCTTGACACCAGCTTCCCTTTTCAGGGAAGAAGGAAGGAAGAATAGTTTTTATTCTTCCAGAATGTAACTGATGAAGTCAGATACTGCAGTAATTCCCAGAGAACAAAGGCCTAATAGAGACGTACCCTGTTATGCTATTCGGAGAAGCACCATGCATCCCACAGTTGCCGTCGGCCATAGGGTCGTTGTGACACAGTTGTCATGGCCTGCCTCTGTGTGAACTTGGTCATAGCTGTTAACATTATCACCGCTTTAATTATGTGCATTATTGGTTCTGCACATGTTGCGTCTAAATGCCATTTAAAATGGCTTCAACATCACACTTAGAACCGCCATTAAAACATAAAGTCACTGCGAATGCTGAAAGGCACCAACAGCAGATAAGCATGCTGTTCATTTGCTGTTGAGCAGATGTTTGCATTGCTGTGTTCTTGAGAAGCAACGGACAAGTTCTTTTGGGGACCTAATAAAGGAAGACAGGTACTAGATGAGGTTTGATTGTATCTTGTTCCTGAGATACAATCAAACCATTCTTTGGGCGCTCAGAGAATGGGTCCAGTGGGACCTGCCATTTCAGGGACTCAAAGAGAACCCATCTGGACTTGATAGGTTACCGAGCCTACCACGTGCTGTTCCTGTGCCTGGCACTTCGTGCGTTATTGCAGTAGTCCTGAAGGATTCCCACCTTAACAGAGCCTGCCTATTTATTTATTTATTTATTTATTTAAAAATTGTTTTCCTTTTTAATGTTTGTTTATTTTTGAGAGAGAGAGAGAGAAAAATTATATGCACTCTAGAATTTCAAAGATAGAGATATGTTCCTTATTGTGGGCCAATGTTGGGTGAGGAAAACGTGAAAACAAAAGTACCGTTCAGGTGATGGGAACCCCTCTCCCCTAAATTTCTCCTTACCATCAAAAGACAAAGAAAAGAAGATTTCCAAAGAAAACGAGTCAGTATCTGCAGTAACTACTGAGGTTTATGGAGAGCAGAAACTTTCAGGACCCACCTAGGATTACGCAGTTACATATTTGCCACATTGAGATGTTAAGCAGACTCTGGGTTTCTTTTTTCTTTTCTTTTCTGTTCTTTTTCTTTTTCCTTTTTTTTTTTTTCCTTCCATTTTCCTCTCCCCACTTGGAATTTGTAATTAGTATCTTTGCCTAGTGAAAATGCAGTCAATTCAGGGAAGTATTTGAGGCTTTGTAAGCAAATGATGACAGTGTAAAAGGTATTTGTCCAAATTTGCATTTATACAAAAGCTGGGGCTGCTGTGATTTCAGAGTAAGTGTGCTTTCAATATTTTCTAAATACAGAGCTGCTGCAGCCCTAGGAATACTTGGCTAAGAAATTGCACTTCTATGATTGGCCGTGATTACTCTTTGGAAAATTATTGGGCTTAAAAAAAAAATGCCTACCTAATGATACCTGAATGGTGAGTCTCACTTTGTCCCTCTTTGCACGTGCAGTCACTTCTGCAAGACTACCGTTCCTGTCTTTCAAAATATCGTTGATTTTTATTGCAGGACAAAAGGGCATGGCATTAAAACCTATGCATTTAAAATTCTAGAAAACATTTCTTTTTCAGGGAAGAGACTTGAGGTAGACGGAGACTTGCTCCGTATTTGTTTTCACCTTTTCCTCACAGTTGTTTGAATGGTCTTTTTCTGTACACTAACTCACCGGCTAGAATTTCAATTCTGAAATTCTGATGAAAACCCCACGTCATTTGTCAATTGCATGAGTCAATGCAGGAGCTGGAAAAGTTGCTAAGATTCGGTTAAATGTTACAGATTGGAGTTTTTCCTCCCTTCTATGTGTTAGGCTGTGCGGCTGGACAAATTAATAAGTGGCCATTTTTCTGGAATTCTCTCTTCCTGCTTCCTTTCATTACATTAGGCAAGGTTCCACGAGATGAGACATTTGCAGTCTTAAGACTTCCTGCCAGGGTTCAGACTTTGTATTTTTGACATTGAAGCTGTCGTGTTCCTGAAGCTACTTAATTAGAAACACATTCATTTCAGCGTACCCTGGAGAAAGCTTGGACAGCAGAGCCCGGCACACTGGGAAGTTCGAGTATTTGTGTAACTGGCAGCTAAACTAATGGTTTACAGTTTAAGGGGAAAAAATATCGCAGGGCATTTCCTTGCCCCTAGAAGCGAAGAGAAGCTGAATGTGCACAGCAGATACCTTTTTTAAAAAGGAGAGAGGAAGAAGAAGAAGAAAGCACAGAAAAGACAACTCCACTTTCAGTGCAGTTGTGTGCATAATTCTTTCTTTGGCTATTATCAAACACAAAAAGTCTTCTAGAAGAATAGTTCCCAAACTGTGCTGCTAATATTCAAGTCTGTTTTACAGGCTCCCAAGATCTATTACTGCTGAGATCTGTAGTGAGGAGGACATTTTATATTCTGGGGAAGGATTTTTGCTTGAAGAATTTTATTTGTTGAATGGTAATGAGGGAATTGTGCCCTCTCTTATTTTTAAATGTTTGAGCAATTTTAAAATGCACATCTGATGTTTAAAAACCTTCATTCCCTATCGATTGCTTTCAGAAGAAAGCCTAAACTCCTTAGTATTCAAGTGGATGCACCCCTCTCCTTTCTCATTTCTACCCTTGTGGTTCTCCCAGCGCTGTCCCCAAGAAAGCCATCCTTGTAGGTGCACTTCCGCTCTCCTGGCTGCCCCAGAGGGAAGGCGCCTGGTCACCTTGGTTGGAGCCAGGTACCTTTCCTCTACGCCCACAGAACACCCTTGACCTTTCATAGGATGTGTCGCACACTGGAGAGACACTCCGTTCCTCCTCCTCCTTGACTGCCGTCCCCTACTCCCCAGGAAATACATGCATGGGAGGTGGGTCCCGGGGCTTTAGGTTCAGTATTATGAAGTCAGCGTGGCCCAGAAGGAGGAAATTCAGAGCCACCCCAGGTTTGCTGCTTCCTGTGTTTTGTGGCATTAGACAAGTGATTTCAGCTCTCTGGGGGCTATTCTTTCCTCTGTCAACTGGGGATAAAGCCTACCTGATGCCATTGTTGGTGTGGATTAGGAAAGATGAATTTGCAGTTCCTCACATAACGCCTAGCACATTTATTATTGGCAAGTAGCATCATAATGTGATGCACACAATGTGTGCGAGCATGCTTGCACACACACACACACCCACGCACACACACACGCGCTCCTGAAACCAAAGAAGATCAATCCATAGTGCCTAGGTTTTAAGAGCTTTGGAGTTGGGTTCTCATCTTCTGCTCATTTGATGACTTAGGGAACCATTGCCCTGTGAATGAAGCAATCGGTAGGGGCTTTTTGAATTGGGTGGTGTGTGTGCAGTCGGGGAGGGGAAGCTTGCTCGAAGTTCCCCATGTACTTAGGCCAGTCAGAATGGACAGTTAGATCACATCTCTTGAAGTCAGAAGGAAACATCAAATAAAAAAAAAAAATCAGTCTTCTTTGAAACCTATTATACCTTGCGTCCAACCTTGTTAACTGCTTTTTCTGTTGTAACTGTGGCGATTTGTTGTCACTAGTGTCCATTTGTGCCACGAACTCTACTAACTGCTTTGCGTGTATGTTCTCTCGTTCTGATCACAAGCTGCCAGTTTGATTCCGGTATCCCATTTTAAAGATAAGGCAACTGAGGCTGTGTGCTCACATGGGGCTACTTAGGGATTGACACCAAGGTCAGTGCTCTTCCCACACCGCCCATGCTGCCTCTAATGCTGCCCACGTTTTGAAATTCTTCTGAAGTTTCTAGGCTTGGGAACAAAATGTCACATTAAGATTTTTGTTGTGAAAGGAAATGTAACTGTGCATACGTTTATTAAAACAGTTTTTCTCCAAATAGTGAACCATCTGTAATTTTCTGTCGGAAGCAACAGACATTAAAGCAGCTGTGTGTCTCTGTTTCTCTTCACAGTGCTCCCATGCCCTACCTCATAGGAATCCATTTAAGTTTAATGGAGGTAAGTTGGCGCCTTTCCTCCCCAGATCTCTCTACTCGCGGCTTTGTTTTGCTATGCGGCAGTGGAAAAGACACAGTCTCGGGATTCACAGCTCTGCACATGGGAGCGTGTCGAACCAACACCTCATGCTCAGCCCCCTCGCAGGTGCACAGAGCTGAGCATCCGGCGGAGGCCCTTTCCACTGGGCTCTGCTTTCCAGTGTTTTTCCGCTTTGCTTGGAGGTTGTCAGTTTTCGTGGGTGAGGGAGAGAGGTTCAGAGAGGCAGGAGGAAAGGGAAGGGAAATTGTTTGCTTTTCAAAATGATGTTTATTATAAATCACTGTAACAGTACATTTTTCATTGTCAAAAACATGGTACAAAAAAGTAGGTAGGTATATAAAGAAGAAAGTTGAAAAGTGTCCACGATACCATTATTTCAGACTCAACTACTATTAGCATTTTATTATTCTTCCTCCTAGTCTATATTCTGTGAATATATATTTTGTATAAATATGCATAACTGATGTATATATGTATACATATTATATATATAGTTTTAGGTCTGTTTCACTTAATATTATGGCATGGAGATTTCTACATATGTTAATCCACTCTCAATATGAATAATTTTTAATTTGTTGCCTGTCCATCCACTGTTTGGATATACCACAACCTAACCATTTTCCTATAATTGTTGGACACTTGGGTTGTTTATCATTTTTCACTATTATAAATAGCATTTCAGTGAACATCTTTATGCATAAGGCTCTCTCCGCACCCTGACTTATTTCTTTAGCACAGAACCCCCCCCCCACCCGCCCCAAAGTAGAAATGCTTGGTCAAAGCTAGGAATCTGGTGCCAGATTGCTTTCTGCATGGCTGTACCAATTAGATAGCAGTTCTTTTAAAGGGCTTTTGTGTGCTTTTGTAAGTGCCATTGGTTTGTAGACATGAACCTTAAGCTTTTCCCTCCTCGAGAGAGAGAGCTTAAATTTGTACTAGAGCAAAATGGGGTGGGAGGTGGGGGGCTTGCCTGTTTTGCACAGGAGATAAGCTCCCAGAGGGAAAATCTAGAGCCCTGTCCGTCTGTGATGATGCTTTGCATGTCTTAAAGGAAGTGCTACTTCTCTTCTTCTGTTGCCTTCATTTCACGTCGACGAGGACCACCTGCTTCTTCACTAACTGTTGCACACTGTGCTATTGTGCTTACGAAAATGAAACAAGTTGGTTATCGAAAAACCTGTTTGTTTGACATTGAGAATCTTGATCAAAATAGACCACAGAAATCTGCTCAAATTTCTAATTTGACAGGACGGCCATGTGGCTCCTACATTCTGTTAACAGTTCCTCCTTGTCGTCACCCAGCCCTGAGCACATACAGTACACAGTTTATGGACGATCTCAGATGTTGTATTTAGATCAGATTGAAGAGATTTCTTCTGTGTTTTACCTTTGTTTGTCAAGTTTAGGGGTGTATTCAAGGCTCCTGTGTGAAAAATTGAAAGTGAATACTTTTCTAACCAACCTTTCATGCCAGTCGCTGCAGAGTTTGAGACACAAATGTAAAGACCATTTGGTCTATCAGAGTCCACAGCTCTTTCCGGCCCCTCCTCCTGCCTTCCAGGCTGTTCTAGTACAGGCTTTTTCAGACTCTTTTTCATGTCCCTTTACCTTCAGCATTGTCCACGTTTCTAGTCTTAGCTTGCTTTTCTTCTCCACATGCCCTCTAGTCATCTCTCGTAAGGCTTTTGCTTCAGCTACCAATGTGATATTTGTGACTCTCAGCTCTGAACTTCCTCTGGCTTCTCTTTCTCTGAACTTCAGATGCCAAGTTTCAAGTGCTGATGGATTGTCACCTAATGGACTACAGATGTCTCAGACTCAGTCTTCCCCAGACAATGCGTTACGTGCGCGCGCACACACACGCACACACAACCTTCTGGTGTTCCCGGTCTGTGAGTGGCACCATTGCCCGCAGAGGCACCAAAGTGGGACACACCAAGCATGGCTGAGTTCTCCTCTCTTCCTCATTCTTTCTCTCGAAATAGTCACTAGGTTTCTGACATCTCTCTCCACCTGTTCCTTCCTCACTGCCTTCAATGACCTTTTTCTTTGCTTTCTTGGATTCCTGTGAAGCCTTATTCATTCCTTTGATAAGCAAAATGAAGGCCTCTGTGTTCTGAACAGTTTGCTAGGCCATAGAGGGAGACGGACATGAACTCAGGCCAAAGTCCCGACACGTGGTGGGGTGCCTTCCACCTTGTCGCCGTACCTCCGTAGCCTGCCTTCCAGCCTCTCTCTGCCCTCCCCCATGTCCTGCTGTCTCCACTGCTGTCCTCTCACTGTCCCTTGCTAGCCAGTGCTCTCCCTGATCCATAAGCACACCCACATCCCTTCTCAACACCCCCTCCCTCTGGCTAAGCTTGCCCTTCTCCACCTCTTCCCAGAAGTCCCCAGTTGTCATCTTTCACGTACTGTACTTCTTGCCCCGGATGATAGCTGTCTGCTGCTCTGTCCTCTCCGTCATCCCTAGAAGTATGAGTTCTTTGAGAACAAAGACTGTGCTGCATTCATGTGGTGGCCTCAGCACCTAGCAGGACGCCGAGCACGTACTTTCTGAAAAGAAGGATTGAGTGCGTGCTTGGAAAACTGGATTCCAGGACACATTCAGAGCCTCACTGTTTCCGGGGAACCAGCACCATAAGTTTACTTAAAGGTGGAGTAAATGTTTTACTTTTTATATGATCGTAAGGAATTTTTGAAAAGACCTCTGGTAGTAAAACATGTAATGCAAAATATACGTAAATTCTGAAGCCGAAACTTGAGACAGTTTTGCCTTTAGGTGAATGGGTGCAAATCCACTCTCCTTCCTTAGTCTTTGAGGGATTTTACGTGAGAAGGTTCAGGAAGCATTGGGCAAGATCAGTCTTAGACCTGTTTGACTGAAGTTGGGGAGGGGTTTGCCATGCCAAATTCTTGTGTGATCAGCAGTAAAAGAAAAGCCAGATCAGTCGTTGCCCCATTCTTGAGGCCAGCTAAACCACTTTTCCAAGCAAAGTCGTGTTTCCTGGGTGTGTTGGGTAGCCGTGAACTACCAAATCGTGGAATTTAGTCTCTTAATCTCCTCCCGTGGATTTCAGCTCAGACTCGGAATGCTCTAGTCATTCTTTTTGATTGGGTTTATCTGGTTCTGTTATACTCTTCAAGGGAGAGAAATGCTTCCCTGAGATTTCTTCCAGGCACCATGGGCTGTAACGCTTGGGGAGGAGCTCGTACCTGGGGCCAAAGGAAAGCTCTTTAAGGAAGGAGCTTGGGAAGGCCCATCTCCTCTCGCACACTAGTTTTCTTACTGGCAATTCAGCAAAAGGCTTATTTTTGACTGTCTTGTTATTTTTTCTTGAAAGCTATAGGCACCTTATTATGCCTTTGCATATGTGCCAGAATTTTTTAAACTTCAAATGAATGTGGCAGATGTTCATAAAAGTTTAGAAAAAGCTACCATAGGAAGACTTTTTAACCATTTTTATGACACTCAAATTTGTTGCACAAAAGGAAATATAAATTATAACCTAGTGTTCTCATTTGAAAAAAAGGTTATTTTGGGGAAAGACCTCATTCTGGTCTTCCGTTCTAACAGGGTGCCCCTGCTTTTTGTTGAATGGTAACCCAGTCACCTTCAAGAGTCTGCCTTCCTTCTGAAGTGACAAGTTTATAGTCAATCCGGATTCTTACCCCTCCTTCCGCCTTTTTATATTCTTTCTCTCATTTAAGCAAACATTAATTTGAGGCTAGTGGTAAGTTAGCAGGATAGCCAAGGGTATTGGCATGGACCTAGTTTCTTCTTGGAGAGAGTGATCTTGTTAGCTGGCAGCTAGGAAATACCGAAACGTGGCCAGATTCCACAGGGCCTGTTTCCTTTCATTCTCTCCACCTCGGTTCAGTTCAGGAGACGTTTCTGCCGCCCCTCTTCTGTGCCTGGTCTGGTGGCAGGTGCCAGGTTACATCTGGTGGATGGTGCTTCTCCGTTTTGATAAATGAAGACTTTCCTCTCCAAGCCTCACAAACAATGCTTTGTGTCCAGGCCTCAGAGTGCTACGAGGGATGTAGGCAGAATATCGTATGCATGTATCCCGGTGGTCAGGAGGGAGGAAGGAGAAGCGATAGCTGTGGCACAGTTGCAGACAGAGGCTCGGGTTAGCCTGTGTATCATACCCCACCTGTACACAGAGGCAGTGACGTGCAGTGGTTAGAACGTGGACTCTGGATTTTAGCCCTCCGAACCTCCTGCTTACGTGATCCTGGGGAAGGTAATGACCTCTTAACGTCTGTTGTCTTACCTATGAAACAAGGACAGTGGCCACATCTCCCTTACAGGATTGTTGGGAGATCCAGTGAGATAATGCTTGTTGGGTGCCTCACATAGTGCCTGGCACATAAAGAGTTCAACAGAGATCAACAACCGTTGATGTTTTTATTTCCTCAGTGGGCTTAAAGCCATTTACGTTGTTAAGTCGGTAGCTTTGGGAGCATGTTTCAGAGACTCTTAGGTTACCAGGGCCATCGTCCTCATTACCTAGGGAAGGAAAGTTTGTGGTCGCCCTATTTTCTCCTGGTCTGCAGTGCTAGAGACACTTTTTCAGGGATGGGAGCAGTCCTTTTGTAGAATTTGAATGCACTCTCGACCCTCTGCTTGACCACTGTCCTGCTGTAGTAATTTCGGGCAAGATACGTTGTCTCTCTGCCTCTCCCTTTCTTCATCTGTAATAGCGGTTAGCACCCATCTTTTAGAATCATGGGAAGGATTAAATAAATACATGAGTCCTGTGTGTGTCCAGCATACGTGAGTGCCCGGTCTGTGCCGGGCACATGGTCCACGTCCCCTTCTACAGTGATGTTTTGAGAGCCTTCTGAGTACCAACTACTGCATCCTGCTAGGGGTTCTGTACGAAATGGTGAGCGTCACATAATCCCTGCCTTCACAGGGTTTCGTCTAGAGCAGATGCAGGCAAGTAGAAAGTAAT